TCATTCTAGGGTGGGCGGAGGGGGGGCCGGGAGGAGGGAAGTGGGCATTTGGGGAGGGGGGAGAGGGGGGAGATTTTCTGCAGGTTTGGTCCTTCTTTCAGAATCCGCAGTGGCGCTTCGACGTGCCTGCAGAAGGCCTCGATGAGCTCATGCTCTTCCTCGAGAGCCCAGGCGTTTCTGTCAACGTGCGCGTCTTCACCGGGGCTATTGCACCTTGGGTGCTCTTGAGAGGTTGATTTTTATACTTCATGTAATGTGCAGAATCCTTTAAACCATCAACGCTAAAGAAAAAATTGGCTATGATTGTTTATCGGTTTGTTGCAGGGAATCCCCCCCCAAGTTACTTCTCAAGGCCAGACCAGAAGCTGTTCGGAGTGCGGCATCCAGCGGCGCATACAGGCGCGGCTGCTGCTTTCTTCAGCTACATCGGCTTGAGCCAGGTCCTCACGTCGTCATCGTCTCTTCCTTCCGCGCTGGCATCTGTGCACCCTACCGATTCTCATATGAAGGTGAGTGTATATATATATATATATCCTTTTAATATTGGTGAGTGTATACCTTGGGTGTCCTTTTGGGGGTACAAGAAATATATACCCTACTTCATACCCTTCCGTCAGCAATGGGCTTTTGTTGTGCTCTTCTTTTGATCCCAGGCGAGTCACCCTGCCACGTCAATTGCTTAGCAACAGGTGCAGGGCACCTAAATGGAACCTTCCTTTCTTCAGCCGGCAAAAGCTGGGCGGACACACCCGCACCTGCCAAGCCATTCGCACCTTCCCCTCCCCCCCCCCCCCCCCCGGTTTAACAAGCCCTAAATCCTAGAAACATGTCATAGCCCTAAACCCCGTGCACCCCAGCAGAGTGGACCAAGGACTCGCTTGGCACGGGTCCACGGCCATCGGACTTCTCCCTCAACCGCACCCTTTCGTCGACGGTGCCCTCGCACACCCGATGAGGTCGCTGGTGCAGCAGATCCAGGCCGAGGGTTTAGGGCTTACGAGGCCTCGTCTAAGGGTAGTTGCATGGTCCCTTAGTATGGGCCCTTTTTTTGGGGGACCCCTTACCTTAGATGCCCTTTTTTAATACCTGAAAAAACCTACCCTTAGACCTAGGATTTCGGGCCTATGTCACATGCTTTCCACCAGGTGGGACGGAGTACGACGATCCAGCTTCGGTTGGTGGACTTTACCGCTTCCTCCGGACCGGGTCGATTGAGCGCGCGCTTGCAGACCAACTCAGACGAAGGCAGGAAGGTTCTGGGCTTAGGGCTATTAACATGTAGACGTAGCCCTTGGGACAATTCATAGCCTCTCCCTTATTCCTAGCTTTAGGAGGATCCTAACCTGGATTCTTTGTCACAGTGTTCAAAGTTCAGGGGGCCCAGCATCGGCCTTGGGGTGGTTGCGAAAGCAGAAGTCCTGCCAGGTTGTGGGTTGGCCGGTTTGCATGTGGGGGTTTTACGAAACCCTAAGCCCTAAGCCCTAAACCCTAAACCCTAAACCCTAAACCCTAAACCCTAAACCCTAAACCCTATCTCTTAACCCACGGCCCATGCAGGCGACGTACCCCTACTGGAGTTGGGAAGCGCGCATCCCCAACGGCCGGCCCCGTACTGTGTAAGGCTACGGCCTGTAGAGGCCAAGCAGCCTCTTGGTGGCTGTGTTTTGGGGTTTAGGGTTTAGGGTGTAGGGTGTTTTAGGTTTGTAGGGTTTAGGGTTTAGGCTGTTTGGGGTTTAGGTTTTAGGGTTTAGGGTTCAGGGTTTGAGAGAGCTCACTGTAGGATTTGAAAAGGCTTCTTAAGGCTTATAAGGGGTTAGGCTTCACAAGGGCCTAAGGTGTTGGGCTTAAGGTGCTGTGTTTGAAGACTAAGGTTTTGGAGGCCCTAAACCTTAACCCTAACTCAAACTCTCAGCCCTAAGCCCTAACCCCTATAAGCCCCAAGCCCTATAAGCCCTAAACCCTAAACCCTAAACCCTAAACTTATGTGGTTGAGCGGATCTTGTCTGTTGCTTGAGCCATAGACTTGCTTGTACTTCCCGGTTAAGCTCTCTATAACCCGAAAGCCACATCGTTCACACTTCCCGCAAGCTACTGCTTCCGTGGGCTTGCAGTTGAGGGTTTAGGATATTTGCTAGACCCTAAACCCTGAACCCTAAACCCTAAACCCTGAACCCTGAACCCTGAACCCTGAACCCTGAACCCTGAACCCGAATTTTAAACCCTAAACCCTCAACCCCCAAAGTCCAGAACGGCCAAGGTACTACCAGCTGTCTGGCGCAGCCGTGCCACGGCCTGGTTGAACTTCTCGAACTGCTCTCGTCCTGTAATGCCTAATGCTAGGAGGCCCAGTAGTGCCATTCCCTTTTGGGGGGGGGGGGGGGTTAGGTTCCCTGCAAACCCCTGCAAGCAAAAAAGGACACCTTTTGTAGTCTGGGCAACCTAGAATGGGAGTTTGGGTTTTAAGCCAAGTAGGGTTTTTACTGTTTGAGATTCACACATGGGTACTCCCCAAACCAGGGGTACCCCTCTTCGACCCCAAATAGAATAGAATCCCTTTCAAGTGGCCCCGCAAAAAGGACACCCCTATTTTCGGAAACCCGAAACCCGAAACCCGAAACCCTAAACCCTAAACCCTAAACCCTAACCCCCTATTTTCGGAAGCCCCCAAATAGCCTGACCCCAGCCGAGGTGATTGTGTTTGCGCAGCTCCTCCCTGGAGAGAGCTATATGCTCGAGGCCCGGGTGCCTCGGAACAGGGCAGCAAGAGATGCCCGGCTCTACATCAACTCAGACAAGGCCCAAGGGGGAAGGGTTTAGGGTTTAGGGTTTAGGGTTAGGGTTTGGGGTTCAGCGTTTAGGGTTTAGGTTTAGGGTTTAGGGTGGTGCTCCAGGGACACGACCCGGCGGCTTTTCACTTGTAGGGTCAACGAGGACTGAGGGTTTGTAGGGTTTGGGGCCGTAAGAGATCTACAGGGCTTGAAGCATAGATCTGCGGGGAAGGGGCCTCTAAAGTCAGGAAATCATAAGACCCCTAAACCCTAAACCCTAAACCCTAAACCCTAAACCCTAAACCCCAAACCCTAAACCCTAAACCCTTCCAGACCCTGCAAGCCCCCGTCAACCCTCAAGTCCCACAACCCCCCCTCAATCCTAAGTCGCCATAGCCCTACATCTTTTTTTCAGCCTAAATACGACTAAATACGAAACCTCAAAAACCCTAAACCCTAAACCCTAAACCCCTAGGGCCCAATCTAAATCTGAACCCCCTCGCCCCTCCCTTCAGGCCATCGTCATTGACAATCTGACAAGCCCAAGAGGTCGTCGAAGGTAGTGGCAGCACGTGCGCACAGCTCGCGAGCTCAGATGCGATTCTGGTCGAGGCCGCGGTGTTGGCTAGCGACCGCTGAAGTTCACAGTCTCAGCCTTGCCGCTTTTGACGTGGACTTGCGGAAGTCTTCTCCTGCCACGAGTGGGTCCAGCACGTGAAGCCAGGCCCTATCCCGAGGGCCATTTCGCTCCGAATGTGCAGCATAGGACACGTCTGAGGCAGCCAAGTGCCGGCGGACGTGAAGCGACTAACAAACTAGACTGCCCCATCATGGTACATCTGCTGTTCTCGTCTGCGCCTGCGCCGAAGCGCGCACTAAGCAGCCTCGCCCATCAGTCTGCAGAGCCGGCCAAGACGGTCCTCCGCATGACGCCGATGCGGCTCAGAACAGTCGGGACTGGTCACTAGTCGCCAGTTCAGGGTTTAGGGTTTTAGGGTTTAGGGTTTACGGTTTAGGGTTTAGGGTTTCAGAGTGTGTTGGGGATGGTGCTTCCAAGGCAGCTGCGCGCCTTCCGCGCATGCTTCTCATCTGTCTTGAGCCTCTACTCGAGGCGAGGCTGCAGGCACAGACGCTTCTTCCAGCTTCCATGAAGTCATCCTTTTGCACACCTCCACGTGCAGCATCGCTCAGCATCGTGCAGCCCAGGAGGACAAGATGTGCTTGGGGCATGCTGTGCTGAATGCTTTCAAAGCGGTGACTTCGCACCTTTCCGCACCGGCTGAATCACCAGCACTCCAAAAGGTTCCGTGTTGAGTTGCTTTGTCTCATGTTGTCTCATCTTGTCTCATGCTTGTCTGCCGTAGCCTCTGCAACGCGGCGACCAAACCATATAGAAGCGAGAACTATAAAGTTATACTATAAAGCACCTGGCCTCGAACAACTCGACTGACGAAAGTTCAGCAGCTTCTTCGCTCGTGTGCAGTGATGGTACCTTAGACCCTAAACCCTAAACCCTAAACCCTAAACCCCAAACCCTAAACCCTAAACCCTAAACCCTAAACCCCAAGCCCGCAACGCTGGACAGGGTTTGCAAACACGCCATGCGGACCCGAAGATGACAAAAAACGATTGCATGGTCCCCGATTTCTACGCAGGCTTGTGCGAACTTCTCTCTCGCCCCCTGTTGGGAAAATCGCTGTGCCCTAAACCCCAAAGCCTCCACCTTAAACCCTAAACCCTATAGGCCCCAAACCTCAGGATGAAGGTGAAACGTTCTTCGCCTCTGCAAAGGCTGCGGGTTTTGCGAACTAGCGCTTTGGAATGGTGAAACGTCATGACCGGCTGTGCTGGACAAAAGAAAGGAGGCAAATGAGCAACAACAGCCTACCCCAAATCTCAAACCCTTTCCAACCGAGCAGATAGTTGTGGCCTAGACTCCTAAACCATGACACATATGAAACAGGCTTTATCCCGGGGGGGGTGGATACATCGGATGTCGCCCTAAACCCCTCAGCCCCTCAACCCCTCAACCTCAGGACAAACAGTCCGTATTAGGGATTATAACGGGAGTATGTTTTAGGGTTTAGGGTTTGGGGGGGGGGGGGGGGGGGGGGGGGGGGGCGGGGGTACCATAATCCCTATGAAGGACTGTTACTTAGTATAAGGGGGGAACATCCCCACCTCAACTCCTCATAAGCCCTTAGCCCGAAGCCTTGGTTGCAGTCTGCGGAGGCCCCGCTCGCGGCTGGCGAGATCTGCCCCGGATGCCATCAGCAGGTGCCTGACTTGAGGCGCAAAAGCTTAGTAGCCCGGTGGTTCCCTTTCCACTTTTGTTTTTGGTTCTGGGTCCCTTATAAAGTAACCAACCAAAAAAAGGTGCCCTTATTATAATATGGTAACTGGGCTACTAAGAAAGAGGTTTCGATGTTTTTTTGATATTCAGAAGTGGAGGGGGACTTGGGTCTTTAATACTTAAGGGTGATTTGGGAATTGGACCTTAACTACTATTTGCTTAAGAACCCCCTCCAAAACATAAAAGATGATAATAAGACAGAATGTGTTTGTCCTTTTGTATTTGTCATTTGTTTGTTTCTTTTTGGTGGGGGAGTCTTAAGCAAGTAGTAGCCAAGGGATCCGGGTGTGAGCGCCTTTGTGTTTACCGGTGTTTAAGGGTGCCGGAGCAGTCTGGGGCCTTTCAGGTGCTCTAGGGTTTAGGGTTTAGGGTTTAGGGTTTAGGGTTTAGGGTTTAGGGTTTTAGGGTTTAGGTACAAGATTAGAGCCACCAGTTTTTGTCTGACCGTTTGTGCTGTTTCCATGCTGTTTGAGAGCACCTGGCAGCTGTTGTGTAGTTGGCTTTGACAGGTTCCCATCATTGATGCTACAGGCTAGCAGTTGCGTCGGGAATGCTGTTTGCATGAACATGTTGGTATGCTCCCCCTCTACTAACAGTCCTTAATAGGGATTATAACAGGGGGGGGGGGTACTACAATCCCTGTTAAGGACTGTCATGTCAGTACAAGGGGGGAACATCCCAATGAGCATGCCTGGTGAGTACAATTAATCGAGGTTCAGACGTGGAGCAGGTCGTTGGAACACATCGCCCAAAGCGTTCCACGACGCCGAAACTTACCTGGCAAAAGCTGCCTTTAGGGTTTAGGGTTTAGGGCTTAGGGCTTAGGGCTTAGGGCTTTTGGAGCACGGGAACAGACTGCCGGGCAGCACGTGTCTTCAGGAAGCAGTTGTGCTCTCTGTGCAAAACAGAATTTGCTGCATCACCACCAGGACTGGTCATACGTGCGACAGAGGCCCTAACCTTCTTTGCACGCCCATGACTAGGATAACCCCTGAGATGCAGAACTCTCAAAACAGCCATAATTAAACTTCGAGGTCGGAATCTCCAAGCTTCCAAGCCCTGACTTTCAACGATGATCGCCATGTCCGGCCTGTCCATGGACAACCTTGAACCCCGTGGCAAGACCCAAGCGAGAAATTCCTGGGCCCAAACACGGGCCTTCCAACCCCGGTGCTTCTGAGCCCAGAAGCTCTGTCCAGGCGTCACATGAAGCGCTGTTGCCCGGAGCAGCTTCCAGAGCGCGCCGTGGATGATCTGGAGGCGGGCCTTCGGCGGTGATGTCCTTATGATGTCGTTTATTCCACACTATCAACAACTTGCTTGAACACGGTTACCCTAATCCCTAGACCTTGCATTTGCTTGTGCATTTACATGGTCATCCCTCCCCCGTCCCCCAATGCCCATTCCAAGTGGTCCTGTGTCGGCCCACCGCGAAATTTGGTCATGTTCTTTCAATGTCGTTTACACTAACTCAACCTATCTGTGTCTACTAATATGTACATTACCTATATAGACACATTGTGACACAACGTACATATATGACAACTCTGTATCCAGAAGTTAGTTGTGAACCCTCCTGCGTTTAGGAAGCACAGGGGTGCTGAGACTTTTCAGAGGCTTTGTTTGTTGAAAATGTCTCAGCTCGCCCCGCCCTCCCCCCCCCCCCTCCCGCATCTTAGGAGGACGCAGCATGACAGACAGCATCCAAACCGGAACCTGAAATCGACTTCATCATTTCAGGAGGGAAGCCGCGTGCATAGTTTGTTTCACTGTACCCAATATATATATATATCCTTCCATGCTCTTGGTTAGCAGGGAATGAGGGAATTGGGGCCCTATAATCCCTCAAAGGGAAACTATAGGGCCCTCATTCCCTCATTTCCCTGCGTTTAGGGTCGTGCTATGTGTAGTCTTGCACCGGAGTCAAAGATGGTCTTGCTGAAGAGCATGCTTGCAATGCATGCCGATTGGGAAGCATCTTAGGGACCAGTCGCCATAGAAAAAAACTTTTAAATCTTAAACCTAAACCCTGAACCCTAAACCCTAAACCCTAAACCCTCAACTCATGCACTGGAAGCTGTGCCCAGGCCCGTCGTGCAGCGCGCAAGGCGGCGAGCGAGGAGGAGGGCGAGCTAGTGGGCTAGGTTTAGGGTTTAGGGTTTAGGGCTTAGGGCTTAGGGTTTAGGGTTTAGGGTTTAGGGTTTAGGGTTTAGGGTTTAGGGTTTAGGGTTGTGGAACGATGCCTTTGACAACGGCGGTTCCGTGAGTGTTTTCGGGTGTAAGGAGAGTCTTATGGAGTTTCGGGTTTATAGGGTTTATAGGGTTTAAGGAGGGTCCTAGGGGTTTAGGGTTTATACTGTTTTCGGGTTTAAGGAGAGTCTTGCGGGGTTTAGGGTTTATAGGGTTTATAGGGTTTATGGGGTTGATAAGGGGTTTATTTACACGGTTTATAAGGTTTATGGGGTCTATGGGGTTTATGGGGTTTATGGGGTTTAAGGAGATTCTTGGGGGTTGAGGGTTGAGGGTTTAGGGGTTAGCGTTTGGGGTTGATAGGGTTTACAGGGTTTGCAGAGTTTTTAGAGTTTTTGGTCTAGAAAGCTGTATGCAGAAGAATTCTTTGCGAAGCGCGTGCTATACACTGGGTGAGTCGTGATGACATGCTTCATTACCGACAGGATTGGATCAGCGAGGAGGAGGCCCGATCTTCAGTCGGACTTGTGTGTTCGGGGATTCAGGTGAGCGAGGGGATCTGTTCAAGTTGCATGACGACGTGCAGGTCCGGCGACCAAGCCGAACTCAAAACTGCATGGTGTAGACTTTCTAAATCTGGATTGTGCGTAGTTCCTGTCGCTGCATTCCGCGCTGTGATTGAACCCGCTCTGGTGCCCTGAGTTCAAGGAGACTTCACACCAAGAGGTTGATTACTCCTCTTGGCGGCTACTTTCACTTTCATGGCGAACTGAAGCAGTCACGTCTGTAAGTGTAGCAGATTCGCAGGGTCTAGAGCCTCGCTGTCACCAAAACTCTCTTAGACACTTGCCGCTTAAACCTACTACATTGGGATGTTCCCCCTTCTACTAGCAGTCCGTAATAGGGATTATAAGGGGGGTACTCTAATCCCTATTCAGGACTGTAAGTACAAAGAGGGGCGTCCCAACTACTAAGCCCTGAACCCTTTAAACCGTCCGGCAGGTCCGGGATGCTGCGCTGAAATCTTTCGCGGCAGTCGAGGCCAGCGCACAACGAGCGATTGAAACTTGGGGGGCTTGGAACGTAATAGAGGGGTCGGAATAATCACTCATGGGGTGTAGGGTTTAGGGTTGAGGGTTTAGGGTTTTGGGTTTTGGGTTTAGGGGTCGGAATACTTACTAATAGTATTACCTTATTTTCCCTTTGTGTTTTTTCGAGAGTAACCCCAAAACCCTATTCTAATCTTTCAGGTCCCTGTAGTAGATTGAGACTTTGGGGCTTGCTGTTAGCTTTAGACAATGGAGGAAGATTTGCAGGGCGATACCCCTTAAAGAACATTGCTTAAACTTAGGGGCCGAAAATGAAAAATCACATAAACATAAGGATCCTACTGTTGGCGTATCAGGGCACCTATAAGGGGGATTCTGAAAAAACACGTATTTGCAGAATCCTCTTTTTTTGTCGCTTTTGGTCTCCCAGCCTAATATGGCTGTGCTTGATATTTGAGAATGAGCACGTGTCATCATGTCCTCGCCTTTCTACGTTAAGTGGCTAGTACCACGGAGAAAAATACACAGACGGGCTTGTTCACGCCTGAAGTGCGTACTACCAAGAGCCCTATTGCTAAGGGTTGGAGGTTCTAGTTACCCTAAACCCTAAACCCTAAACCCTAAACCCTAAACCCTAAACCCTAAACCCTAAACCCTAAACCCTAAACCCTAAACCCTAAACCCTAAACCCTAAACCCTACACAAGACACTCCCAAGCTTTGGGAGGATCCGCTCCTTCGACAAGCTCTGGAGCTGCGCTTCGGGGCAGACCAAGGCCACCCCAACATCTTTTCGTGGGGGGGTTCCCAAGAAAGGGTTTAGGGTTTAGGGTTTAGGGTTTAGGGTTTAGGGTAACTAGAACCTCCAACCATTAGTTGTTGTGGGGTTAGGGGTTTATGGGGTCTTAAAGGGTGGTGGGGTTTTCCCAAAAAAGGGTTTTGAGAGTTTTTTGAGCGTTTTAGGGTGTGCAGGGTTTATTATAGGTGAGTCAGGCCACATTTGTTTGTGGGGGTTTCCCAAGACAGGGTTTACAGGGGTTCGGGTGCAAAGAGTACAAGATTTATAGGGATTAGAAGGTTTACGGGGTTTATAGGGTTTGGAGGGTTTAAGGGGTTTACTGGGCTTAGAGGGTTTATAAGGTTTATGGGGCTTTATAGGGCTTATAGGGATTTCTGGGGCTTTATAGGGTTTATAGTTTATAGAGTTTAGTATTTAGGGTGTAAAGATTACGGTTTCTTCTTGTCTGGGAGCCTGTACGCATTTTCGTTTTTAGGGGTTTGGGCTTGTAGGGAATAGGTACCAGAATGCTGGGTTGGGAGCTCTCTGGTCAGTTCTGAACCATGAGAGGGTTGAGGGTTTCGGGTTTTAGGTTTAGGGTTCAGGGTTAAGGTTTAGGGTTTAGGGTTTAGAGTTTAGGGTGCCTCTGGGGGGGCTCCACATACAAGGCTACAAAGGGCTGCATTCTCACAGGGACCCCTTAGGAGAGACGCCATTTTGGAGAACCTGGCCATCTAAAACCGCAGGGCTATTCGGATCTTGAGGCTTCAGAAGCAGAGTGCCCCTTGCTGCCTTGGTGGGAGCCGCGGTGTAGGGTTTAGGGTTTAGGGTTTAGGGTTTAGGGTTTAGGGTTTAGGGTTTAGGGTTTAGGGTTTAGGGTTTAGGGTTGGTTTCTAGCTCACAGGCTACTGTCGGGCCTGCACCGACTGGTTCCTGCACAGCAGTCAACATGCCTTGAATGAAGTGATCTGCCCCAAGTTGTCAAATGCCCCTGGATGGAAATTTCAAGGAAACGACTTCAACCTTAATATCTCACGGCCCTATAACCCCATAAAATTCCTGAAGCAAGATATGTAAACCCCATGACTATGACCGCCCTTCAAGGCCTTCTGATTGATTGCCCTAAGTTCGGTCGAAGAGTCCCGAAGTTGAGACCCTAAACCCTAAACCCCAAACCCTAAACTTTAATTCCTAAACCCTAAACCCTAAACCCTAAACCCAAAAAGCCCTGGTGAGAGACACAGCACCGAGGCGGGCTCCGCCGAACGCCGGCGGAGGCGGGATCTTTGCCTTAGGTTGGGGTTTAGGGTTTAGGGTTTAGGGTTTAGGGTTTAGGGTTTAGGGCTGAGGGTTTAGGGTTCAGGGTTTAGGGTTTAGGGTTTAGGGTTTAGGGTTTAGGGTGTATAGGACTCAGGGTTTATGTTTTTATCTTTTCAGAGTTGCGGTTTTTAGGATTTCGAGTGCAGCATGTAGGGTTTAGGGTTCTGCGCTGCTGAAAAGGACGTCTTAAATGGGCTGTAATTTCCACGTACATGGCGTGGGTGCTGCACTGGGCGAACTCGGAAATATCAGAGCCTGAGCTGTCAGCAGGCAGTCCTTCAATATCCTAGACCCTATGCCCCAGACCCTAAACCCTAAACCCTAGGGTTCGTGTGCTTCAGCCGCTCATGAAAGTGTGCGCCGCGTCCGAGGTTGCCGAAGCTCTTGGTGGCAAGTATCGTGGAAAGCCCGAGGCTGGGTGCTAGTTCGGGTTTATAAATAGGGTTTAGGGTTTAGGGTTTGGGTTTAGGGTTTAGCGTCTAGAGTTTAGGGTTTAGGGTTTAGGGTTTATCGTTTAGGGTTTAGGGTTTAGGGTTTAGGGTTTAGGGTAAAGAACACTCTTGCCGGGCTTAGGGTATAGGGCCTAGGGTTTAGGGGGGGTTCGAGCGAAATAGTTAACCAAGTAGTTTGGCTGTGGGGTTGCTATGGTTTTTTGTTGGAGGTAAGGGGTTTTGGAGGTTTGTGGCATGTGCGTTCGAGACTCGGAGCATGGAGTTTGGGATTTCTGCTGTGCTGGCGAACTGCGTGCATTCGTGAGTGCATCGGCTGTAAGGCAACACCGTTGAGCTGGGAAGGGTACTCAGGCATCAAAACTGAACTTAAGCTTGAACTCGCCGTCCTTTATTATTATTATTATTGCTGTTATCATTATTATTATTAGTATTATTAGTATGATTAGTATTATTAGTATTATTAGTATTATCAGTATTATTAGTATTATTAGTATTATTAGTCTTCTTCTCATTATTACTCTTATTTTTGTTATTATAATTATTCTGATTATGATTATTATGCTTGCGTGGGAGCAATGTGGCTGTGTGGACCATGCCGAGATCCCTCTTGCTTGATGATTCTACCGCTCAGCACTTAGGCCTCTTCTTGGGGTTCTTACATGTCTCGTGTTGGCAGTCAAGCGCCACATATGGGGGTTGCCGAAAATAGGGGGGGTCACTTTAGGGGGATTCCGTTCTATTTGGGGTATGACAGGGGTACCCGCAATTTTCGAACACTCCCATATATGGATAGACTGAAGCAGAGTGTGGCTACTGTTCCAACAACCCTAAACCCTAAACCCGAAAACCCTAAACTCTAAACCCTAAACCCTAGAGGAGTGAAGCAGGCCCCGCGTATCGCTCTGTCGAAAATTTTCCTTGCAATGGATGCCGCGCTGGCCAGAGTTGCTGAAGGCCTTCCAGACACATTTGCCTAAAGTGCTAGATCTTCAGGTTCGTACAGTACTCCATATATATATATATAGATAGATAGATATGTATAGATGTACTGTATATATATATATGAAGGCAGAACTATAGTGTTCCATAGTATTTTCTGATAGGATCTTTTGTGTTTGATATTTTTATATGCTTGTGTTAGTATGCTATTATGGTATCATGCCATTATTATACTAATGTGGTTTATGGTATCTGTTTCTGTTGTCTAAGTTATGCCAAGATGATGCCGTAATAAAGATTATATTGTTGTTTGCGAGTCTACTATTTTAATTTCCTTATGATCTGTCCGACAGGCTGTGCAGCTCGCATTTCTCTTTGATGTTGGCTGTCTGTAGACTTCGCATGTCCACGTTTGCGGACCTCCCGTTTCTTCGAGTCTGAAATGCCATGCTTGCAGTTGTGGGGACTGCATCTGCGCTCTTGGGCAGGAGCCTTTTCCTGGTCAGATGTGCAGTATGCAGCCGCGAACGGGTCAGAGAAGTGTCGTGGTCAGGAAAATAACGCAGGGTTGCAGCTTTCACAAACAACACACAGTGGATTCCTTACATTATTCTGTATGTCATTTTTTATTCTTATTATTCATTATTTAAATATTTTTCTTGCAAAACATAGCAGGATGAGATTCCTCAACTGACACACGCTCTGGGGTTCGAAGAGCATGCTCATGGACATGTTCGCTGCGCGCATCATGAAATATCATTAAACATAGCACAATGACTTTGCGTAGTGATCTAGTGACCCAATAAGATGACAGTACAAGACCCTACTACGATGATGATATATCAAAAATGATCTAACAACATTCTGTACAACAATATGTTGGCACAGTCGTATAAGTTCCGCCTGTGGTGTTTGAGGCAGCTGATCACGGCCTTGCTTGAAGCCCTTGCAGCTGGACATGAGAAGGCGGCAACGCTGCTTTTTGATTGGGGCGTCGCACCCGACCTTGGGTCGATCCTGGCAGATCCCCCACAGCCAGGCAACACGCACGTGCTAATTTTGGGCTGGGGTGGCTCCAGCCACGCGCAGCTGCAGAATGTACAGAAGCTGGGTAGCCCAGTGGTACCCTTTTCCCTTTTTTTGGTTCTGTTACACCAAAAAAAAGGGTGCCCTTATTATAATATGGTTACTGGGCTACTAAGGAAGTGGTGGCAAGGCAAGGGGTACCCTACCTTGGCAACGACCACCTGCCCTAAGGAGATACAGAAGCAGGTGGATGCCATCAGCGCCTTCTTGCCAAGCGACTGCGACGTCATAGTGCACGCGTTCTCCAACAACGGCGTGTATTTGCTGCAGGACGGGTTAGGCCCTTGGGTTCTTTGATATTTTCCCTTATTTTTTGTGGGTACAAGAGGATCATATTAAGGAACATTTCTCCTAAACCCCAAGAGTCCAAAAATGTCCAACCAAGAGGAGTTACTGCAGCAGACTCGTGAGAGTCGCCCTTGGCGACTATCCGGTGTCATCCTCGACTCGGCACCGGATGCCTGCGTCAGCCCGATGTTGATGAGGCAGCTTGGGGATGCTTTGGGTTTTTTAAACTTTTGGGTACTAGAAATCCCAAGAAACAGCTATAAATCATTTTTGGGCACGGGAATTCCTAAGAAACAGCAAAAGAAGCATGCGTTTTTGCTCGGGTTCCAAGTTCGGCAGAGGCAGGTGGTGAACGGCTGCATTCGAGCACTCTGTATGGTCCACGGGGTCTTCATCAAGGAGCGCCCAGAAGCTGCTTCTAGGCAGGCCCTCTTGGGATATATATATATATATATATATATATATATATACATATAATATATATATATATATGTATATATATATATATACATATGTATGTATACATATGTATGTATACATATATATATATATGATTTCCCTTTTGGGGTTTAAGAGAATTATATTTCGGGACGTTTCATCGGTTTTTGTTATTGGGTTTAAGAGGAAGTTGCATGACTGTTTACACCGACTATCCAGGCATTGAGTGCTGTGGATAAGCATTGCTTCCCCTGAACCCTACACCCTAAACCCTAAACCCTAAACCCTCACCTAAACCCTAAACCCCTAAACACCCAAACCCCCACACCCCCACACCCCCACACCCCCACACCCCCAAACCCCCAAACCCCCAAACCCCCAAACCCCCAAACCCCCCAAGCCCCCAAACCCCCAAACCCCCAAACCCCCAAACCCCCAAACCCCCAAACCCCCAAACCCCCAAACCCCAAACCCCAAACCCCACACCACTCGAAAGGGCCATCCTAGGCTTTAACTGCCTTCGATGTCGTCGGCCCGCTGCGTGCGGGGGACCGCCTTCAAGAAGCTCGGCCGGCTTTTGTTAGAACCCTAAACCCTAAACCCTAAACCCTAAACCCTAAACCCTAAACCCTAAACCCTAAACCCTAAACCCTAAACCCTAAACCCTAAACCCTAAACCTATACAAACATATTCATTCCAATGCTTTAAGGGCCAACCCAGGAAGGCTCCGAAGGCTCCCGGGTGGTGTTGGGGCCGAATGGATCCGAGCGTGGCTTTCTGGTAAACACAGAGCGAGGAGCAGGGTTTAGGGTTTGGGGTTTGGGGTTTGGGGTTTGGGGTTTAGGGTTTCGGGTTTCGGGTTTTGGGTTTAGGGTTTAGGGTTTAGGGTGTATCTAATATTTGGGCCTGAATACTTTAGGGGGTTCATAGTGTGTATAGTTACACATGTACCATAAGGAAATACTACTAGCTAGTTACTCCGACCCCTACACAAATCCATGGTGGCAACCTCGCAGTCATTTAATGAGAACACGTATCTGGGTAGTTTAAAGAAGAGCTGCTTTGATCTGAAGGGGATGATACAGGCAAAGCCCGAAACCTTAAACCCTAAACCGGAGCCCTAACCCTAATCCCTAAACCCTAAGCCCTAACCTTTAACTTCCTAAACTTTTAAACCCTAAACCCTAGACCGAAACTTGGCCCCTAAGCCCTAAACTCACGGGCATTAGCCCTGCAACGCGTGCCTCGCAGGAGATGCCATGAGCTCCGAATTTCTCCAGCAGGCCCCCTCGTCAGCTCCACCTACTGGTTCTTAGTGGGGAATGAGGGAATATGGTACGTGGTATATCCCCCTGTACGTATAAATAAAATCTCTGTATATACAGGTACACATTCTTCAAGGGACATATATATGTATATATGTATATATAGAGACATACACACACACACACACACACACGCTTGCTTAAAGGGATTAACTATATAGGGAACCAAAAGGTTCAGTCGTGGGGAAGAGGGAAGTTCGGCTGTTCGGGTTTAGGGTTGGTCAGGGTTCGGCCTTAGGGAATTTAGGGCGTTTATACCTGGGACAACACTATTTACCTACAGTGTAGTAGTAACTACCCTTAATTAGTACGTAGGCATGACCCATGAAACTGTAGATAAAGAGGGTCCCAGGTAGATTTAGGGTGTTGCTTCATGCTTAGGGTTTGGGTTCAGGGTTGGGGTGTTTAGGGTTTAGCGCGTTTGGGGTTTTAGGGTGGCGGCAAAGGGACGTCTGGGTGTGCTTTTTGCCTGCGTGCTTTTGCAGCTCGGGTTTTGGGTTTAGGTTCTACGGCTGGGGTTGAGCTCTGAATTTTCTTGCTTTTTTTGCGGGGGGAGTGGCCGCACCTGGTCACACAGAATCTTCAATGGAATGACAGCACACCATCACCCTTTATACTTTCAGGTTGTGGCCGACCATGCCGGCAAGTCACTCCAGGCAAAGGCCCATGGGTGAAAGTGCTGAGTTACAGTTACAGGAATTGGAGTTGATCCACCCTGAACCCTAAACCCTAAACCCCAAACCTTAAAGTCTCAAGTAGGGTTTATGGTTGAGAGTTGAGAGATTTGGGATCCAGCGTGAGAGCTGAAAAAGGAGCTTCAGACCCCAAACTCTCCAAGCACCTAAACCCTCTCGAGTCGAAGCAAGAAGCCCCTACAAATCCCTGCCGCGAACCCTGCAAGCTAACCCCCACAGCCTGCGAACAAATAGACAGAGGCAAGCTCGACCTCCCCTCCCTCTCCCCCCCCCCCCCCCCCCCCCCCCCCCCCCGCAGCCACGCCCGGCGCCGGACAGAAACTATAGCGCACGCGAGGAAAGCTGCCCGAAACCCTAAGTCCTAAACCTTAACCCCTGCAAAATCCGACATAACGTAGGGTTCGGAATAACTACGAATCGTACGCCTTTAATCTGGTCCCTATATAGACATACTGCAATCACCCTGCGGTTGATGCAGCCGAGGACCTGGAGGCCCTCCGCAAGCTTCAAGTTTCCAAGGCCGGCCAGCTCAGGCTGTAGGGTTTATGGTTTAGGGTTTAGGGTGTAGCTTTAGGGTTTAGGGCGGTTTAGGGTTTTGGGTTTTGGGGTTTTGGGTGTTGGGTTTATGAGTTAATTAGGGTCCGAGGTTTAGGTTCTCCGGGATTTTAGCGTGTAGGGCTTCAGGGTTTCGAGCCTCTCGGGTTTTTTCGGGTTACAGGGCTTATGGACGTTTTGATAGGGTTCACTTACTGTTTCCCAACCCAAGTCCTGCTGCCTGCCAGGTAGAGATTAGCACAATCTCGAACTTCTTGTCGTTGGAGGATGCCCTGGTGTTGCTTGGAGAACATTTGAGCTGCTGTTTCTTTTGGAATTCCGCTTTGGGGTGCTCCCCTGTGTACTAACAGTCCTTGACAGGGGCTAGAATAGGGGGTACTATAGGGCTGTTAGTATAAGGGGGAACATCTCAAGTAGGAGCCACACCAAAGCACTAAACTCTCCCGAGCCGGTTCTTCGTGTCCAGAAGGAGCAGGAGCCAAGGCTGTTTCTGTACTCCTCCACGGACAGCTTGATCAAAGCTGCTGCAGTGGAAGATTTCATGAAGAAGGGCACCCGTGCCTCGGCGTTCGCTTCGTCGATAGTGCTGCCATGATCGATATAGCCAGGGGTCGAGGGATTGAATTTGGACAAGTAGGGTGCAGGTCACAAGCGGCATGGTTCTATGTGTGCAGGTGCTGTGCACAGCAAAACAGATGCTCGGATACGGAGTCCGTAGTTCGAAGAGCCCCCCTTCAGCCCAAGTCCTAGACCCGAAACTTCCTAAACCAAACCCGAACCCCTTTGTATACCTTATATAGCCCCTATATACCTAAGTAGCCCCCAAATAACCCCTAAACCCTAAACCCTAAACCCGAAAGGGTCCCTCCTTTTAGATTGCTGGAGGTGAGGGGCAGGCGAGCTCCAAGAAGTTTGCCGGATCGCAGCATGTTCGCCACTTCCAGAAGCATGCGGAGCCTGTGTCGGGCAATGTTTTAGACTCAGGCATACGTGGGCTTTCGGGGTTATGGGTTTAGGTCTCCGGGGTTGCCATTGCCAACGCTTCAGAAAGTTCGTCGAAGGTGTGTAGCTGCCCCCGACAAACTACTGTGAGAACTTTGAGGTTAGAAGAAGATGTAGTTTGCGGGGCCCGGTGCAGCTTGAATCTGAGACGGCTTGTGATAGGATTCGGATTTGGGTGTTCTTAATGGTATTGTGCGGATTGCAATGGTCTGGAACGTCGTCACATTCCAACCAGGTTGCCTTGTTGCAGTGTGTCTGAGAAAGCCAGATGCCCGAACAGTAACACACAAGTTGGAAAAGCAGAAGATGACTAGACCAACCCTGTCTGTATGTCCTGAAGCTTTGAAGTCAAACCCTCGAGATTCCAAAGCTTGCCCTGTCTTGCACACCTCCAGCAAGCTCGCGGATATCTTGTTCAACCCTATATAAACCGTAACACTTCAAACTTAAAAACAGTCTAAGACTAAGAACAAGGCACATGTATAACCTTGCTCGGAGCCTCAACTGGTCCAGACAGCAGACAGCTTGGTGTTCACACAGACATCCGGTTGGCGTCGTAACTCAGAAAACTGAGAAACAATGTGAAACAGCGCCTTCATGGCACGGAACAAGAGTCCTCCGAAACAATGCGGAATGTTGCCTGCCGCCGCAGTCAACAAGCGCATAGCCAGGCAAAGAGGTTCTTTTGTGGAATGCTGAATTTGGCTGTCACGACGTTTCTCCGGCGGGTTGGCACTTTGTCAAGGCAACATTAAGCGTCAAAAAAAAACTAGACCTCATCATAATTCATATTTGAACCAAGATCAACATTAAGAGTTATAACCCCTAGACCTCATCAAATTTTCAGATTTCAATTAAGAGCTTTGAGGACCCTTATGCGGCGGAAGTGGCCGCCTTCCTCGAGCGCTGCAAGCTCGCGTCGAGTTCTCCCAAGAGCAGTTGAAACAAACGGCCGTGTGTCAGTTGCAAGTCGTTGATGAGCCTCTTAAAAAGGGTTAAAGGGTTTAGGGTTTAGGGCCTAAAACATTTTTTGAGGCTTAACGCCCCTACGAACCCCATAACCCTAAACCCCAAAGCCCGCCCCAAAGCCCGCCCCAACGCTACTGTACCCTGATGCCGAGCTGTGCGCAACACCAGGCTTCCCAACAACAGGAGTGCCCAGGGTTTGGTGGAGCGTTCCGGGATTCGGGAGCAGGCAGGTTTAGGTTTTAGGGATGCTCTTCGAGCAGACTTTCTGAGTTGACGGAGCCTCAATCCTGGCAAATCGGCATCGCGGCACAAGTGTCTAGCGTATCCTGTTCTCTGCATGTCTGTGTTTGCCCTGCAGCCGAGGGGGGGGGGGGGTCATCTTTACGATTTCTGGAAACTAGGATGCCCGGTAGTATACCTTTTCCCTTTTTTGGGGGGTTCAGGTTCCCTTATAACCCCCTTTAAGCAAACCCTAAACCCTAAAACCCTAAAAAAAGGGCACCTAGGAAGCTCACCGGCACGGTACAGGCAGCGCTGAATTTGATTCGCACAGCCTTGCGGAGCATTCCGCTGGTGGCAGACGACCCAAAGGAGCTCCGGTGTAGGGTTTAGGGTTTAGGGTTGTACCGGGCACTTATGGCCTTTGACGTGCTTCATGACTGCGGTTCCAGCACCCGAGAGGAACCTTATACAGGCCAATCTAGTCCATCTAGTCCTGAAATCTCGGGCGTGTCGTGCGCGACGTTCCTTGCCAGGATTTGGTCGTCATCTATGAGGCCTGGCGCGACCCTTTCCCTTATCCTTTTGCATGCTCCAGACCCCCACCTGCCCTGAACCCCCTAGATAGCCCTGAATTAAACTGAACAGTAGCCAGTGAGGCCTGAGGGCATAGTAGGGATACTTTTGGGGCTTCTGAATCCTGTCTAAGGGTGGTTTCATGGGCCCTTCATCTGGTCCCTTAGCTCCCTTAAATGGTTCTAATGTAACTACCCTAAGATGCTCAAAGCTCACAGCTTTCACGAGCCTTCTGCAGTTTTAATCAAGGGTCTCAGGGTTTAGGGTTTCGGGTTTAGGGTTTAGGGTTTGGGGTCTCAGGGTAAGGAGATTGAAGAATCTTAGGGCTCTTCTACCCTTTGTTGGTGGGGCTTAGGCGTCTGGGTTTGTAGGTCTTAGGTACCCCTGAACCCTAAACCCTAAACCCTAAACCCTAAACCCTAAACCCTAAACCCTAAACCCTAAACCCTAAACCCTAAACCCTAAACCCTAAACCCTAAACAACCTTCACGTGGCTGATGTGAAAGGATGAGAGCCTCTTAGCCGTGTCGAAGCCTCCCTGCTTGCGCTGCACGCCTGTCCACAGGCAGATCCCGGGGGTCGGAAACCCCCCGAAGTTTGGGTTTAGGGTTTAGGGTTTAGGGTTTAGGGTTTAGGGTTGAGGGTTGAGGGTTGAGGGTCTAGGGTCTAGGGTCTAGGGTTTAGAGGTTAGGGTTTTGCGCTGGCTTAGGGCTTGCGGCTGAGGGTGCCTGGTATTGTGGGAGGAGGAAACGCTGCTAGCTCTTCACAACATGTACATAGTCTTTGGGCAACTGGCGCACCATAGGCATGCATGTAGCTCTGAATGCGCCAGATTTGTGGGAAAGTCGCTGACGAGTCAAGTGGCGGCCTGAGTCTTTACCAGAGCCTTCAGCGTGCTTGGCTGATCTGCTGCACGGGGTTTCTGAAATTAGGGGTACCTTATTGGGGTCCTCATTATAAGGGAATCCTACTGTTTGGCGGGCTATATTCGGGTCCCCTGTTTGCGAAAACCCCGCATGTGTCTTCAAAACCTAGCACAGGAAACCCTGAGTCATGCGCTCACTTGAATATCACACGCTGAGAACTGCCTTAATCCCAAAAGCATGTTTTCTCAAGACTGGGAACAGGTTTCGGCCCAGGGGCAAGGGTTTCGCTTCGGGCACGCTTTTGGGTATGATGGGTACTGCAGGAAGCCCGAAAACTTTTTGTTTATGCCTCGAGACCCGGCTAAAACTTGTACGCCCAATGTAATCCCTTCGTTTTTGATGTAGAAGATGGCACTTTGCTGTAAAACCCGACGTTTCGATCTTCGATTTAGGGATTGGCTTCTCCCAAGCAGCTGATTTCGTTTTATATCCCCCCCCTGTAAGGTACCCTGGGGACTGTATAAGGGGTATGACATGTTCATGGGGTTCAGGTGGAGTTGTGCTACTTGCAGGTTGTAGGGTCCAAGTTTCCGAGGTTTCCCATGGGGCCCAGATGTTCTTCGCAGCTTGCTTCGGGACCAAAAACTGAGCAGACTTGAGGACAAGACCTTCTTCACGGGTATCCTTCTCCCCAATCCCTAAACCCTAAACCCCAAACCCCAATCCCCAAACCCCAAACCCTAAACCCTAAACCCCAAATCGCAATGAACTACTTGGACCCGAAGCTCTGAGCTGAACCCCGCACGACTCACAGATCCTGGGCTACTTCCAGTCCAAGGGCGAAGGCAAGCTGGGTTCTCAGCCCAAGGGTTTAGGGTTTAGGGTTTAGGGTTTAGGGTTTAGGGTTTAGGGTTTAGGGTTTAGGGTTTAGGGTTTAGGGTTTAGGGTTTAGGGCTCAGGTCCTGCCTGGGAATGTTCTCGGCTTTGCGGGTGTTTGGGGGAGGGGGGGGGGGGGGGAGTGTGGGATCGAAATACTGACTGAGCGAGAACCGGGCACCTCCACCACACCCAGACTTGATTTGAGGCAGACCTCGCCCATGATGCTGCACCGTTTGGCTGGGCTCTGAGATCGCAGGCAGCAGTGCCACGACGTTTGTCATGCTCAGATCTTGTGGGTCGCCTTTGTCTATATCCCCCTGGGGAAGTATTTTTTTCTTATTATCCTTGTTCATATAAAACACAAGAGGATATTGAACATAATATGTTTATATATGTTTATTAAGGTTCTAAGGGGAGTAGAGTTGTCTCTTGAAGGACCAGACCACAAGCGGGATCGTTCTTTGTGCCAAGACGAAGGCGCTCTTAGGCTCTTAGCGCAGGGAGAGACGTCCGTGCACCGAAGCAGTCCCAATGCCGTGGCAAAACCTCGACAAGTTCAGAAAACTTCTCGTTGCACTGAAAGTGACTGGCTGCCTGACGACTATCACTGCTGTGCAGGCGGCGGCTAAAGCTTGTGCTGCGAGTGCCTCAGCTCATGCTGCCGTGCGCAGCTGCAATCTCACTCAGACTTGGACATGGCAGTCAATTGCTTCCAGCCCGATCACGCTTCATGTTGCTCTGCACACCTTTACCAAGCGGCTTTGGAGAAGAGACCAAGTGTGATGGACCTGTGAGGAGCAGTGGCACGAGGACGACTGCAAGAAGGACCACGGCGTCTAGGGTTGAGGTTCGTTTGTTCTTTTGATGTTTATGGAGTTGCAGCGCCCCGAATGCTATAGAGCAGCCTCCCGCCCTAACCCGCAGATTCTGCGAGGAGTACCTCGCCATTGCGCTCGCTGGCGACCAATGCCAGTTGCAGCATGTGGGCGCGACCCTGGTGGGCCCTCCATGCCTCTTTGAGTAGCCTAAGGCCTAAGGTTCGGGGTTTAGGTTGGGGGGGAGGCTTGTTCCTATCTGTCGCTCGGACCCCCATCCTCTCCCCAAAACATGTTGCATGAACTGTCCGGGTTATTGAACAGCACGACTGCAAGTTCGGGATCCCGAACACGCAACTCAAGAAAGAGGCAGGAGAAAGTAAGGGGATGGCACTAAGCTTGCTTGCGAGGACTGCATTCATCTGGCCATCTTGTTTACCAGCTCCAAGAGCATATGCACTACACGCAGCGCCTGCATAGCAGCATCGCAGCCCAGTGTTGGGCCTAGGAAAGCTGACACAGGGCCACTGACCCCTCCTTGCGTGGCCAAGAGCATCGATGACCGGCGTGGAGAGCCTGGCTAACATCAGTCTGCCGTAGCTGGAAGCACCATCTCAAGCACCTGACACATGTGCATCGCAAAGCATCCTCCGAAGTCGGAGTCCGCGGTTTAGGGTCTAGGGTCTAGGGTTTAGGGTTTAGGGTTTAGGGTTTAGGGTTTAGGGTTTAGGGTTCAGGGTTTAGGGTTTAGGGTTTAGGGTTTAGAGAGATGTGGGCCCTGCGGCCTCCAGATGTGAGGCACCGCCTGGTGCCTTGCTCGCGGTATGTGCCATGGTCATGGTACTACCGGGCCCCACCACCTCCAAGCGACCTACGAAGGGCACAGGCCAGGCAGTGCTAGGGCTGCTAGGGTCTAAAGTTGATAGGGTCCCTAACCCTCAACCCCAAACCCCAAACCCCAAACCCTAAACCCTAAACCCTCCACCCCAAAAACCCTAAAGCCTGAACCCCAAACCCTAAACCCTCAACCCTCCACCCCAAAAACCCTAAAGCCTGAACCCCCCAAACACACCAACCCTCAGCTCCAAACATCCTCTAAGAGCCATGTTTAGGGATGGGCAGCTGGGAAGTGGCAGGCTATGCTGTTGAGGGTTTCGGGTGCCCCCCCCCCCCCCCCTAAAGCCTTGTCAAGACCCTAAACCCTAAACCCTAAACCCTAGCCCTAAACCCTAAACCCCACCAAAGAGCAAGAACCTTCATGGGCCTGCTCCGGGTTAGTTTAGTCTCTCAGATCAAGGGCCTTTGTCTTCCAAAAAGCCAAAAGCACCAACCCTCCGGATCCAAGTACTTAAAGAGGGGTTACGTGGCCTCTACAAGCACTGCTATATCATGACTTTGAGACCCAAGGATACAAGAGTTAGGTACATGGACCCTAAACCCTAAGCCCTAAACCCTTAACCCTTAAACCCTTAAACCCTAAACCCTAAAAACCTAACCCTAAAACCCCAAAATGGGGAAAAACCGGCAAAAAGGCCCGGCCGCTCTGGGGCGTGGCACCCTTGGCCCTGGCAATCACAGCCCTGGCGCGCGGGCGAAGGCAGCGCCGGCAGCTCCGAGTTTCTTGGGGACCAAATGAGCCCTAAAATTGGGGTCATATACCCTATACTACTAGAATTCCTGTTGAGGTATATGAGCCTTAATTTTGAGGTCATATGTATATGTACATATATATATATATTCCTATTGAGGTATATGAACCACAAACCCTTTTAGGGTTCAGTTCCCCAAGGTTGTGGTGGCCGCGTCGGAGGCCGAGTCCTTGGGGGAACCTCGGAGAACTGGCTGGCTTTGGGGTTCTTCGGGAAATGTGCATACATGTGCTGTATATAGTAAATATGACAATATGAAATCAAATACAAATATAAATATAGATATGGATATAAATATAACTATATACATATATATATATATATAAGTATGGATGAACATATAAATATATAAATATCAATATCAATATCAATATCAATACCAATATAAATATCAACATAAATATAAATATGAATATGAATACGAATATGAACTATGAATTATGAATTTTTGAATTACGAATTATGACTTATTAATTATGAATGTGAATATAGATATACATAGATATATATATATATATAAGTAAATAAATAAATATATATATATATATATATGTATGTACATTATATATATATACACATACATATGTTTAATATATATATATATACACATACATATGTCTATATACTCGGTTGCAAAGTTTTCAGGCTTGTGTGAAGGTGGTCCGCAGCAGCTACCTTACAACAAGCAACTTGCATCGACGTGTGCCAGTGGTAAGCTTGACTCCCGGAGGTTGAGCCAGTAGATTCAGGTCATCATCGTCGGGAGTTGTGCCAGGATGTCACCCAGTGCATGGGGTCAGATTCAGATGCATGGTGAACTGCAAATCAACCCAAATAACTCCAAAAACTCACACTGCGGAACGTCGCAACTGCAACCCTAATATGTCCTTGCACCAACAAGCCTTGGAATCCTGAATCCGGTGCACTCCTCCAGCACCCAAACCGAGTCAGAGGATTCAAGCAATATAGGGCTCGGAAGAAATACTAGTAGTATTGCCTTATGGTCCCGTCATAAATACACTATCATAACCCGCGAAACCCTGTTCTAATTATTAAGGCCCCTATAGTGGCCGCAAGCCGAGGTAGTTGACGTGCTCTGCGAGCAGGAAGGAACCGTGCAGATTCGAATGAGATGGCCCAAAGATGGCGAGTCTCGAAACTTCGACCGCCCTCGTGACCAGCTCTTGGAGAAGACCCTGATGCGCATGTCCCTGACGCTGCAGAAGGGGCTTCTTGGGCGCGATTCGGGAACCGTTTTTCGACTCTTTGCTTAAGAACCCCAAATGAAAAATGATAGTCCCAATACTGCCCTTACAAGACTGTGTTTTTTTTTTTTTTTTTTTTTTGGGGGGGGGGAGGGGTTCTTAAGCAATTAGTAGTTATTGCTGCAACACTGACATCCTCCGCCCTTCCCTTACTCAACCAGCATCCATTGTACCTTGAGTTGTTCGAAAGGCCTGCGATGTCTCTTACACATAGTTCTACTCATTCATAAACCCTAAACCCTAAACCCTAAACCCTAAACCCTAAACCCTAAACCCTAAACCCTAAACCCTAAACCCTAAACCCTAAACCCTAAACCCTAAACCCTAAACCCTAAACCCTAAACCCTAAACCCTAAACCCTAAACCCTCATCATCCAGACAGACCGACATTGTACCTTAAGTTGTCCTCGAGGCACGGCGCATCCCTGGGATGTCTCTTACGCATAGCAAGCATACTAATACACCCTAAACCCGAATGAAACCCTAAACCCCAAGCCCTACGAATAATGGCAAGAAGAATCCAGCCCAGGTCCAATACGAAGGCCCGACGGCGCGGGTGGCGACGGCGCAAGCAGAAGTCTGAAGAGCGGAAGTCTGAAGAGCGGAAGCCCGAATCTGGCCCAGAAGTTCGGTTTAGGGTTTAGGGTTTAGGGTTTAGGGTTTAGGGTTTAGGGTTTAGGGTTTCGGGTTTCGGGCATCAGGAGGTTTAGGAAGGTCGAGAGCAGCGCTTTAGGGTTTAGGGTTTAGGGCTTCAGGAGGTTTAGGAAGGTCGAGAGCAGCGCTTTAATTTCGTATCGGGGTCGCAAGAATTGTGAACAGTATTCCCTTATGGTCCCTATATGGAGTGTACTAGAATAACAATCAAAATCCTATTCTTATTATATAAGTCCCCAAAAATAATTTGGGCTTGGGGCTTCAGGAGGTTTAGGCTCAACTTGCGCAGCGGTGACATGTAGGCATCACGCAGACCGTCTGTTGTGAGCTGGTCACAAGCATGTATGCTTTTATAATATGAGCATATGAGCATTTTCCAAACAATTGGGGTTAGCCCCCCCCCAAATGGGGAACGTTGAAGGGACCTAGACTAGAGTCCCTTCAGTAAAGTCTCTTTGTGGCTGCTTGCTGAATCCATTAGAATAGGTAGCTTCAAACTCAGGACACAGCACTTTAAGCAGAAACCCGAAGCCACAAAATCCGCGCAAGCCCGAAGAACCCTACAAACCCGCTAACCTTGAAAGCCCTGTGAACCCTGTAGAGTTCCCTAGAAGCCCTGCTTGAATTTCAGGCCCAGGACGCAGCAAAACCCCCTGCCATCGCCACTTCTCTGCTGGACAGCGACTCGGTAGTCGAAGTAATTACCTTAATCCTTTCTTTTGCTTGGAGGGGAAGGGGGTGGGGGAGAGGTTCAGGGTCGGGTTTAGGAGTATAGGCTTACATTTATAAGGGTGGGAGGAGGGGATTAGGTTTAGGAGTATAGGCTTACATTTATAAGGGTGGGAGGAGGGGATTAGCACAGACCCTGTGGAAGCTCAAAAATGTTTTTTTGGATATAATGGGTTTCCCTACTAACCCCCCTCTAACCCCCTGCCTTCGCAAAGGTAGTGTAGAGGGGGTGTAGCAGGGGAACCCGAAACCCTACACCCTAAACCCCAAACCCTAAACCCTAAACCCCAAACCCTAAACCCTCAAGCCAATGTGTAAACTTGAACTTATTCACTCCTTTTCTTGGAAGGCCACTTTTGCTGGTGCGGTGCAAAGTTGCCGGCTTCTTTTTGTTGAGTTGTCGTCAGTTGCTTTGTGACTGCGTAGGCGAGGAGGTTTAAGTAAATCGAACAAAGAAGACTGTTGGGCTTTGTGCCTGCACAGGGCAAGGAGGTTTAAGAAAATTGAACATTCAGCACTTTGGAGCTGTTTGAAGCTTCTCAAGTCCTTTTCAAAGCCACCCGGTGCCTTTTGGGCTCTTTGCTGGTGGGCCTTGTGAAATCAATTTGGGCCTTCTGAAGCCAATTGTGGCCTTCTGAAGCCAATGTTGGCCTACTGAAGCCAATTTTAGGCCTTCTGAAGTCAATTTGGAATTTTGGCCTTCTGAAGCCAACTTTGGGCCTTCCAAAGCCAATGATTTTGGCCTTCTGAAGCCAATTTTGGGCCTTCTGAAGCCAATTTGTGCCTGAAACCAATTTTTGCCTTCTGAAGCTATCTGAAGCCAATTTGTGCCTTTATTTGGCCTTCTGAAGCCAATTTTGGGCTTTCTGAAGTCAATTTGTGCTT